ATATAAACAATTTATGATTTATATAAATAAATAAAATAAAAACATGTATCCTCCCCCAAAAAATGATAAAAAGTTTAAAATAAGGCCGTGAAACTCACCATTGTAACGTGTTTTTATTTGACGATAAACTCTCTGTGAAATCGATCAAAGATTGGGGCGAAACCTTGAAGTGAGAAAAATTCAAAGAAGTAGAGATGGTTGGTGAATATTTAAAAGAAAACGAGCCGAATTTTAAATGGAAAAGATGATTGCTTTTATTTATAGTAATTTTTATGGTAATCTTTATTACGATGCATGCCACTTTATACCACTAAGTTATGTGCCTGATAATTCTTATCCACATGATACGTGTTTCTTTTTTAAACACACATCCATTATATATATATATATATATATATATATATATATATATATATATATATATATATATATATATATATATATATATATATATATTTTGCTTATATATTCTTATTAATAGAATATTCATTTTAAATATCAAAATATCTATAATCCTTACAATATTTGTAACAGTTAAATTAAAATAACAATTTGAATATTATTGATATATAATTAAATGAAAAATGATAGAAAGGTTATATATATATATATATATATATATATATATATATATATATATATATATATATATATATATATATATATATATATCTCGTTTGTTTCGATTTATGTATATATTTACAATACAAAATGTGATATATATATATATATAATCACGTGTTATATTCGATTTGTCATTATATAAGAATAAATTTTTTACCAATTATATATTAAATATTATTTAATGACTAATCTAACTTTTGATAATCGATAATTTACGCCGTAAAATATAACTAGTTAATTTTTTTTATTGAAATTAAGAGGGTTACAACTTTTTTTTTGTAAACAAAATTTGTATTTTTATTAAAAGTTGTTAAAAACATTACAAATTAAGCCTATGATATTTGATTTACGTCAAGTTCACTTGTGACAACCATTAACTTAATTTGACTCTTGTCGCAAAATGATTACAGAATTCACTCTACGTTTGTCCTCGTACACCATAAATGACTCTTTTCCATGTGAGTTTACTCTAACCATCTTCTTTATTCATAGTATTTCGGCATCGTTTGCACTAAGCTAATCCATTCCCGGTACGATGTTGAAACCGTTTAACTCAATGGGCTAACAAGTATGAAATTGTCACTAACAACTTCTACAACTAGATCATCTTAAGTTTATTTACTGACGATGCTAGTCTTCCACCAAATTTATGCGATATAAAGGAGTAATTTGCTCCAAAGTCAAACAATACATTGGCGGGCAATCCATTTACAATAAAAATACTTAAAGCGACATCTGCTACATCCTTTGTTGCTTCTAGGGTCATTTGGAATGCTCTTGCGTTTGGCTTGGTGGAACATTAGGCCTAGCTGCCACTTTCTTCTTTGGGCAGTCCGTTGCAACATGTCGTTCTTCATTACATCCATAACACATCATCTTGTTGGATGTACACTCATTGGCGTAATGCCCAGTCTTCCCACACTTGAGACATTAGATCGAGAACTCTTAGAACCGAGATCCCTTAGACGAAGAACCCCTAGGCAGTGATCAATAGTCAAGGCAGTGGCACTTTTCCTAATGTGATATAATCCACATACCAATGCAAATATCACATCATTCTTACACCTTTTATATATATATATATATATATATATATATATATATATATATATATATATATATATAACCGAAATCACCTCCCATTTTCTCATTTAGACTTCAAAATTTCCTTCAATTATCTCTCAAGAAATGAATTCAACTTCATACGTTTATCCATCTACAAATCTTCATATATTTGCCTAGACACACTTTCAAATATCCCTAGAAAACAAATTCTTCAATTGACTTTTAGGAATCTTTCTAAGTATTCCTTATATAATCTAGTGTTATACAATACTTTCATTGTTAGTTCATCTAATTTACACATTTTATTATGTGTTTAAGACTATTAGATATGACTATCTTCACGTGCTCTAACTTGAAGATCATCGTCATCACTTCGTTATGCAGCCAAGAACACACTCGAGGCGAGTTCATACCCTTATATTTTCCAAGACTTTTTATTTTTTTAAAAGGGGGGGGGGGATACAAGTAAAATCATTTGATAATTCAAATTATTATACAAACATCTTTATTTAAATTGTACAAAAGTATTATTTACGAGGAACAAGGTTATTACATTATTTCTACGAACCTTGTAATAAACAAAGTAAAGGGTATAATTATATAAAAATACATATATAATTATTTTCATTTTATTTCATTATCACAAAAAAGTGATAGTTTTAATACACAAGGATTTTCATTACAAACGAAACATTTATTATATACTATAATAGGTATAGTTTATGAGTCATTACATTGTTATATCATTTTGGTAATACCGGGCCAATCATGTCTTTCTGGGTAACCACATACACATGGTAATTGTTTTGTTAAGATGTCACAACATTTTTCCGATGGCATTCCTCCTTCCTTTAGTTGTATTTCACATGCACCTAGTAGCAAGTTCACATCAAAATTTGCCTCATTTGCCGCCACGAGAACCACCATCACTGCTACCATGGTTGCAACAACAAGAACACTTGACACCATCTTCATTTTGAATGAAATGAACCGAATATATGAGACAATAATGTTGGATATTGCTACAATTTATAGATATATTTAGTTAACGTAAACATTAATTACAAGATGTTTGCATTTAAACTTTTTCCTTAATCACCGTATTTTATAAATTCTTTACTGTATTGAGATTCTTTTCTAAATTACTATACGTTTTAAGTTCATATACTAATACACCTTATTATATAATAATTTTTAAATACAATGTATCGTGAAATAATTATGTTTACAAAAATAAATTTATTCAAATTACGAAAACCCCAAAACGTACAACAATAGTACCTTATATCCAAAATTACGCATCCTTGCAAATACATGGTTTTAAGTTTACGTTTTCATAACATACATATTAATTAATTTGTGATAAATATGATAACTACAATTGTTCATGCTTCATAAACTTAACAACGGTTTATTATTACCCTTTGTAATTAATGCGATACTTAAATGGTATTAATAAATAAAAAACTTTTAAGATAAAATCCATATTAATGTTTTTTATTAGATGTTTTTTTAAATTTATTTAAAAAAATAAATTACAAAAGTAATAAATCATTATGGATATTTTAAAAATAAATAAATAATAAATTGTTATTCGATTTTTTTGGACTATTTGGTTCTTATTTTCCATGGTATTATTAACATGACTATGACATCCACAATTTCACGGCCCGAAAAGACCGATTTTGTTTATGCTTTATTTGAAAATCAGAGTATATTTTTAAATAAATATATTGCGGAATTTGTTCACAGAAAAACATGATAAATATATTATCAAAGCATTTCCGAAGAAATGTATTTTGTTCATATTAAAACTTTGGGATGTCATCGTCAATACCGAAAATAAGCATAAACAGACCTTACATTGATTTACACTAGTGATCTACATCTCATTTAAACCTCTCAGTCCAAAGTAGCTTCGTATCGACACCTCTGATACAAATATACTGAGTGGGTCAGGTTGGGAAACATGGTGAGTACATAGGGTTTTCAACCCACAATAATATAATTATTATATTTAATCATCAAACAATCAACCCAACTACCCATCCCCATTATCTTTTTTAATCTTAATGATCTACTCTATGAATCATCCATCCTTCATTCTTAAGGATTGACCTAAGGAATAGGCACGAAGTCCATCGCTACCAGCGTTATAAATTACATAACAGCTTAAGGAGGTAATATAAGGAACTATTGTGCCCTTATATGTGTTTGTTGTAAATGTTTGATAGGTAAAAAAAACAAAATGATCTACCTATAATCAATTCTAAAAAGATATATTGGACATGATGGTAATCATTGGTTAAAATAATGGATTCCAAAACAAATGTGTGCCAAAATAAAAAATAACAACAAAATGGTGTAGTTTACTAACAAAGAACCTTTGGGTATTTTACGTCCCAACTTCAATTCACACAACACACATACCAACTACTATATAGTCATAATAAAAGTGAATTTATCTATTAATTTAAAGAAAATGCATACAAATTATGAGATCTAAGATCACATACCAACTCTAAAATAGAAATATAAATTAACAAAAGTAAATAATCACTTGAAATCTTGTTTATATATACATGTATGTATAAGTAACGTACCTTCTTTCCATATTCATACATATACTCTAGATACTAAAACAAAATGAGAAGAGAAGTATGTATGAAATTGTTGTTATATATGCAAAACAATTTTAGTAATCTATCAAAATTAATTAATATAAGTTGAAGAAATTGAATATCTAAGTAGTATAAGTTGAAGAGTTTTCAAGTTTCAACTTGAATATGGTGCAAAAATAAAACCTATCTTGAACCATATTCATTTGAATGACCTCAATTATAAGATAATATAAATATAGATATAAATTAACACAATTCTTTAGCATTGTTTCAACGTTTTTTTACATCAAGATATATACAAAATTTTGAAGCATAACTCTTTTAAGTGTTATGCCCAAATTAAAATTCAAATATATAATCTCACCTCCCCTTGTGTGGGACATGTTAGTTATAAAGACTATATATCCGATACAAAATTCAAATGTGTAAAAATGCCATCAAGATGACATAGTAGCTAGTAGTATTCGATTACAATTTTCAATCTTTGATGAGCATGTAAAAAAATAATAAAAATAATCAGGTGTATAGGCACAAAAGATACAAAAAAAAAAGCATATAATCAAGTAAATATATTGTAATGCAAACACATATTACGTAGTGTGTTTGGTAATCAAGAGACATATCAAAATCAAAATGCATCCTCTTTGGGACTACAAATCCTCGAGTAATCAATGCAAACACAAAAACAATTCAGGGACAAGGTGGAAATGGGACATCACAGAAACCACATGTTTTGGTAATACCGGGCCAATCATGTCTTTCTGGGTAACCACATATGCATGGTAATTGTTTTGTTAAGATGTCACAACATTTTTCCGATGGCATTCCTCCTTCCTTTAGTTGTATTTCACATGCACCTAGTAGCAGATTCACATCACAATTTGCCTCATTTGCCGCCACGAGAACCACCATCACTGCTACCATGGTTGCAACAACAAGAACACCTGACACCATCTTCATTTTGAATGAAATAAACCGAATATATGAGACAATAATGTTGGATATTGCTACAATTTATAGATATATTTAGTTAACGTAAACATTAATTAAAAGATTTTTGCATTTAAACTTTTTCCTTAATCACCGTATTTTATAAATTTTTTACTGTATTGAGATTCTTTTCTAAATTACTATACGTTTTAAGTTCATATACTAATACACCTTATTATATAATAATTTTTAAATACAATGTATTGTGCAAGCATTATGTTTACAAAAATAAATTTATTCAAATTACGAAAACCCCAAACGTACAACAATAGTACCTTATATCCAAAATTACGCATCCTTGCAAATACATGGTTTTAAGTTTACGTTTTCATAACATACATATTAATTAATTTGTGGTAAATATGATAACTACAACTTTTCATACTTCATAAACTTAACAACGGTTTATTATTACCCTTTGTAATTAATACGATATTTAAATGGTATTAATAAATAAAAAACTTTTAATATAAAATGCATATTAATGTTTTTTATTACATGGTTTTTTTTAATTTATTTGAAAAATAAATTACAAAAGTAATAAACCATTATAGATATTTTAAAAATAAATAAATAATAAATTGTTATTCGATTTTTTTGAACTATTTGGTTCTTATTTTCCATGGTATTATTAACAGGAACTATGACATCCACAATTTCACGGCTCGAAAAGACCAACTTTGTTTATGCTTTATTTGAAAATCATAGTATATTTTTAAATAAATATAATGCGGAATTTGTTCGTCGAAAAACATGATAAATATATTATCAAAACATTTACGAAGAATTGTATTTTGTTCAAATTAAAACTTTGGGATGTCATCGTCAATACTGAAACATAAGCATAAACAGACCTTACATTTATTTACACTAGTGATCTACATCTCATTTAAATCTCTCAGTGTAAACTAGCTTCGTATGGACACTTCTGATACAAATATACTGAGTGGGTTTGGTTGGGAAACATGATGAGTACATAGGGTTTTCAACCCAGAATAATATAAGTATTATATTTAATCATCAAACAATCAACCCAACTACCCATCCTCATTTTCTTTTTTAATCTTAATGATCAACTCTAAGAATCGTCCATCCTTCATTCCTAAGGATTGACCTAAAGAATAGGTACGAAGTCCATCGCTACGAAGGTTATAAATTATATAACAGCTTAAGGAAGTAATATAAGGAACTATTGTGCCCTTATATGTGTTTGTTGTAAATGTTTCATAGGTAAAAAAAACAAAATGATCTACCTATAATCAATTCTAAAAAGACATATTGGACATGATGGTAATCATTGGTTAAAATATTGGATTCCAAAACAATGGTTTGCCAAAATAAAAAATAACAACAAATTGGTGTAGTTTACTAACAAAGATCCTTTGGGTATTTCACGTCACAACTTCAATTCACTCAACACACATACCAACTATTATACAGTCACAATGAAAGTGAATTTATCTATTAGTTTAAAGAAAATGCATACAAATTATGAGATCTAAGATCACATACCAACTCTAAAATACAAATATAAATTAACAAAAGTAAATAATCACCTTAAATCTTGTTTATATATACATGTATGTATAAGTAACGTACCTTCTTTCCATATTCATACATATACTCTAGATACCAAAACAAAATGAGAAAAGAAGTATGTATGAAATTGTTGTTATATCGGCAAAACAATTTTAGTAATCAATCAAATTTAATTAATATAACTTGAAGAAATTGAATATTTAAGTAGTATAAGTTGAAGAGTTTTCAAGTTTCAACTGAATATGGTGCAAAAATAAGACCTATCTTCAACCATATTCATCTGAATGACCTCAATTATAAGATAACATAAATATAGATATAGATTAACACAATTCTTTAGCATTGTTTCAACGTTTTTTTACATCAAGATATATACAAAATTTTGAAGCATAACTCTTTTAAGTGTTATGCCCAAATTAAAATTCAAATATATAATCTCACTTCCGCTTGTGTGGGACATGTTAGTTCTAAAGACTATATATCCGATACAAAATTCAAATGTGTAAAAATGCCATCAAGAGGCCATAGTAGCTAGTAGTATTCGATTACAATTTTCAATCTTTGATGAGCTAGTAGCTAGTAGTATTCGATTACAATTTTCAATCTTTGATGAGCTAGTAAAAAAAAATAATAAAAATAATCAGGTGTATAGGGACAAAAGATACAAAAAAAAGGATATAAACAAGTAAATATATTGTAATGCAAATACATATTACGTAGTATATTTGGTAATCAGGAGACATATCAAAATCAAAATGCATCCTCTTTGAGACTACAAATCCTCGAGTAATCAATGCAAACACAAAAACAATTCAGGGACAAGGTGGAAATGGGACATCACAGAAACCACATGTTTTGGTAATACCGGGCCAATCATGTCTTTCTGGGTAACCACATATGCATGGTAATTGTTTTGTTAAGATGTCACAACATTTTTCCGATGGCATTCCTCCTTCCTTTAGTTGTATTTCACATGCACCTAGTAGCAGGTTCACATCACAATTTGCCTCATTTGCCGCAACGAGAACCACCATCACTGCTACCATGGTTGCAACAACAAGAACACCTGACACCATCTTCATTTTGAATGAAATGGACCGAATATATGAGACAATAATGTTGTATATTGCTACAATTTATAGATATATTTAGTTAACGTAAACATTAATTACAAGATGTTTGCATTTAAACGTTTTCCTTAATCACCGTATTTTATAAATTCTTTACTGTATTGAGATCTTTTATAAATTACTATACGTTTTAAGTTCATATACTAATACACCTTATTATATAATAATTTTTAAATACAATATATCGTGAAAGAATTATGTTTACAAAAATAAATTTATTCAAATTACGAAAACCCCAAAACGTACAACAATCGTACCTTATATCCAAAATTACGCATCCTTGCAAATACATGGTTTTAAGTTTACGTTTTCATAACATACATATTAATTAATTTGTGATAAATATGATAACTACAAGTGTTCATGCTTCATAAACTTAACAACGGTTTATTATTACCCTTTGTAATTAATACGATATTTAAATGGTATTAATATATAAAAAACTTTTAAAATAAAATGCATATTAATGTTTTTTACTAGATGGTTTTTTTTAAATTTATTTGAAAAAATAAATTACAAAAGTAATAAATCATTATAGATATTTGAAAAATAAATAAATAATAAATTGTTATTCGATTTTTTTGGACGATTTGGTTCTTATTTTCCATGGTATTATTAACAGTAACTATGACATCCGCAATTTAACGGCCCGAAAAGACCGATTTTGTTTATGCTTTATTTGAAAATCAGAGTATATTTTTAAATAAATATATTGCGGAATTTGTTCCCAGAAAAACATGATAAATATATTATCAAAGCATTTCCGAAGAAATGTATTTTGTTCATATTAAAACTTTGGGATGTTATCATCAATACTGAAACATAAACATAAACAGACCTTACATTTATTTACATTAGTGATCCACATCTCATCTAAATCTCTCAGTGTAAAGTAGCTTCGTATGGACACCTCTGATACAAATACACTGAGTGGGTTAGGTTGGGAAACAGGGTGAGTACATAGGGTTTTCAACCCACAATAATATAATTATTATATTTAATCATCAAACAATCAACTCAACTATGCATCCCCCTTATATTTTTTAATCTTAATGATCTACTCTAAGAATCATTCATCCTTCATTCCTAAGGATTGACCTAAGGAATAGGCACGAAGTCCATCGTTACCAGGGTTATAAATTTTATAACAGCTTAAGGAAGTAATATAAGGAACTATTGTGCCCTTATTTGTGTTTGTTGTAAATGTTTGATAGGTAACAAAAACAAAATCATCTACCTATAATCAATTCTAAAAAGACATATTGGACATGATGGTAATCATTGGTTAAAATATTGAATTCCAAAACAAATGTGTGCCAAAATAAAAAATAACAACAAATTGGTTTAGTTTACTAACAAAGAACATTTGGGTATTTCACGTCCCAACTTCAATTCACACAACACATATACCAACTATTATATAGTCATAATGAAAGTGAATTTATCTATTAATTTAAATAAAATGCATACAAATTATGAGATCTAAGATCACATACCAACTCTAAAATAGAAATATAAATTAACAAAAGTAAATAATCACCTTAAATCTTGTTTATATATACATGTATGTATAAGTAATGTACCTTCTTTCCATATTCATACATATACTCTAGATACTAAAACAAAATGAGAAGAGAAGTATGTATGAAATTGTTGTTATATAGGCAAAACAATTTTAGTAATCAATCAAAATTAATTAATATAACTTAAAGAAATTGAATATTTAAGTAGTATAAGTTGAAGAGTTTTCAAGTTTCAACTGAATATGGTGCAAAAATAAAACCTATCTTGAACCATATTCATTTGAATAACCTCAATTATAAGATAATATAAATATAGATATAGATTAACACAATTCCTTAGCATTGTTTCAACGTTTTTTTTACATCAAGATATATACAAAATTTTGAAGCATAACTCTTTTAAGTGTTATGCCTAAATTAAAATTCAAATATATAATCTCACCTCACCTTGTGTGGGATATGTTAGTTATAAAGACTGTATATCCGATACAAAATTCAAATGTGTAAAAATGTCATCAAGATGACATAGTAGCTAGTAGTATTCGATTATAATTTTCAATCTTTGATGAGCTAGTAAAAAAAATAATAATAATCACGCGTATAGGGACAAAAGATACAAAAAAAAAGCATATAATCAAGTCAATATATTGTAATGCAAACACATATTACGTAGTATATTTGGTAATCAAGAGACATATCAAAATCAAAATGCATCCTCTTTGGGACTACAAATCCTCGAGTAATCAATGCAAACACAAAAACAATTCAGGGACAAGGTGGAAATGGGACATCACAGAAACCACATGTTTTGGTAATACCGGGCCAATCATGTCTTTCTGGGTAACCACATATGCATGGTAATTGTTTTGTTAAGATGTCACAACATTTTTCCGATGGCATTCCTCCTTCCTTTAGTTGTATTTCACATGCACCTAGTAGCAGGTTCACATCACAATTTGCCTCATTTGCCGCCACGAGAACCACCATCACTGCTACCATGGTTGCAACAACAAGAACACCTGACATCATCTTCATTTTGAATGAAATGAACCGAATATATGAGACAATAATGTTGGATATTGCTACAATTTATAGATATATTTAGTTAACGTAAACATTAATTACAAGATATTTGCATTTAAACTTTTTCCTTAATCACCGTATTTTATAAATTCATTACTGTATTGAGATTCTTTTCTAAATTACTATACGTTTTAAGTTCATATATTAATACACCTTATTATATAATAAGTTTTAAATACAATGTATCGTGAAAGCATTATGTTTATAAAAATAAATTTATTCAAATTACGAAAACCTCAAAACGTACAACAATCGTACCTTATATCCAAAATTACGCATCCTTGCAAATACATGGTTTTAAGTTTACGTGTTCATAACACACATATTAATTAATTTGTGATAAATATGATAACTACAAGTGTTCATGCTTCATAAACTTAACAACGGTTTATTATCACCCTTTGTAATTAATACGATATTTAAATGGTATTAATATATAAAAAACTTTTAAGATAAAATGCATATTAATGTTTTTTACTAGATGGTTTTTTTTAAATTTATTTGAATAAATAAATTACAAAAGTAATAAATCATTATAGATATTTGAAAAATGAATAAATAATAAATTGTTATTCGATTTTTTTGGACGATTTGGTTCTTATTTTCCATGGTATTATTAACAGTAACTATGACATCCGCAATTTAACGGCCCGAAAAAACCGATTTTGTTTATGCTTTATTTGAAAATCAGAGTATATTTTTAAATAAATATATTGCGGAATTTGTTCCCAGAAAAACATGATAAATATATTATCAAAGCATTTCCGAATAAATGTATTTTGTTCATATTAAAACTTTGGGATGTTATCATCAATACTGAAACATAAGCATAAACAGACCTTACATTTATTTACATTAGTGATCTACATCTCATTTAAATCTCTCAGTGTAAAGTAGCTTCGTATGGACACCTCTGATACAAATACACTGAGTGGGTCAGGTTGGGAAACATGGTGAGTACATAGGGTTTTCAACCCAGAATAATATAATTATTATATTTAATCATCAAACAATCAACCCAACTACCCATCCTCATTATCTTTTTTAATCTTAATGATCAACTCTAAGAATCATCCATACTTCATTCCTAAGGATTGAACTAAGGAATAGGCACGAAGTCCATCACTACCAGGGTTATAAATTATATAATAGCTTAAGGAAGTTATATAAGGAACTATTGTGCCCTTATTTGTGTTTGTTGTAAATGTTTGATAGGTAAAAAAAACAACATCATCTACCTATAATCAATTCTAAAAAGACATATTGGACATGATGGTAAGCATTGGTTAAAATATTGGATTCCAAAACAATGGTTTGCCAAAATAAAAAATAACAACAAATTGGTGTAGTTTACTTACAAAGAACCTTTGGGTATTTCACGTCCCAACTTCAATTCACACAACACACATACCAACTATTATACAGTCATAATGAAAGTGAATTTATCTATTAATTTAAAGAAAATGCATACAAATTATGAGATCTAAGATCACATACCAACTCTAAAATAGAAATATAAATTAACAAAAGTAAATAATCACCTTAAATCTTGTTTATATATACATGTATGTATAAGTAACGTACCTTCTTTCCATATTCATACATATACTCTACATACTAAAACAAAATGAGAAGAGAAGTACGTATGAAATTGTTGTTATATAGGCAAAACAATTTTAGTAATCAATCAAATTTAATAAATATAACTTGAAGAAATTGAATATTTAAGTAGTATAAGTTGAAGAGTTTTGAAGTTTCAACAGAATATGGTGCAAAAATAAGACCTATCTTTAACCATATTCATTTGAATGACCTCAATTATAAGATAATATAAATATAGATATATATATTAACACAATTCTTTAGCATTGTTTCAACGTTTTTTTTACATCAATATATATACAAAATTTTGAAGCATAACTCTTTTAAGTGTTTTGCCCAAATTAAAATTCAAATATATAATCTCACTTCCGCTTGTGTGGGACATGTTAGTTCTAAAGACTATATATCCGATACAAAATTCAAATGTGTAAAAATGCCATCAAGATGACATAGTAGCTAGTAGTATTCTATTACAATTTTCAATCTTTGATGAGCTTGTAAAAAAAATAATAAAAATAATCTGGTGTATAGGGACAAAAGATAAAAAAAAAAAGCATATAATCAAGTAGATATATTGTAATGCAAACACATATTACGTAGTATATTTGGTAATCATGAGACATATCAAAATCAAAATGCATCCTCTTTGGGACTTCGAATCCTCGAGTACTCAATGCAAACACAAAAACAATTCAGGGACAAGGTGGAAATGGGACATCACAGAAACCACATGTTTTGGTAATA